GTGCCTTTCTGGGTGTATATATAGGGGAATTTGACAAAGGCCTTATCAGGGTTGGCTAGGCTCTTTAACTTTTAGAATGCAAGGTCAATATTGCCCCTTGTATGCCTGTCTGGTATTTAGGACAGAAATCCCTGTCAAGTCTGCGATAGATTCCATGCACACTCTAGGCACTCTGCAGAAAGCCCAAACGTCAGCTGAAGTCTTCCACTTCCTTTCCAAAGTCCATCTAAGACTTTAAAAAATCTTGAGTTCTTTGAAAAAATTTCAGAGACAAGTTAAAATGCATTTCTTTAGATGTTTTTCTTCCCTTCATTCTGTGGTTCATTATAAGAAATCTTGCAACTTAAAGTAATTTAGAGCAGTGCTTCTTATACCATTTGTGGGGGAGAACTTTTTTGTAAGTTACAGTCTTTGGCAGACTGATGCTTTTGTAAAATACAGTAAGAATGAATTACTGGAAAAATAAAATAAAACACGAAGATATTAAGAAATCAAGTCAACTGGTCACATGCTTAGATGTGGGGACAATGCTATGGATTGCTATAAAAATGTCAGTGGTGTCTTTCTTTACTCTCCTTATCTCATTGCAGACCAGCAATAAATAGTGTATGACCGGCAGAGGTCCACAGAGCACACCCTGAGTGGCCCTGTTGTAGCGGCCCTACAGAACTGTGCTTGGCCCACTCTTTGTCCATAACAGTAATATCAGCCAATGGCAATATGCCCCGGTCTTTGGTACTGTAGAGAAAAAATGGAAGGTGTATTAGTCTGGGTTCTCCAGAGAAACAGAACCAATGGGGCATATATGACTTATTATAAGGAATTGGCTCACATGGTTATGGAGGCTCAGAAGTCCCACAGTCCACAGTAAGCACGCTGGAGACCCAGGAAAGATGATGGTGTAAACTCTAGTCTGAGCTTGAGTTGGAGTCCAAAGGCAGGAGAAGACTGGTATTCTAGATTAAGTCAGGCCGAGAGAATGAATTCTCCCTTTCTGTGCCTTTTTCCATTCAGGCCTCCAACAGATTGGCTGAGGCCCACCCACATCAAGGAGGGCAATCTGCTTTAGTCTACGGATTCAAATATTAATCTCATCCAGAAACACCCTCACAGACACACCCAGAATAATGTTTAACCAGATATCTGGGCACCCTGTGGCCCAGTCAAGTTGACACACAAACTTTCCCATCATAGACAGGCATCATCTCATGTCATTGTGAATGGGGCTCTTGGTTTATGATTCTGCCAAGAAATGGACCAGTCCCTTAACCCTAAAACAGGAACCACTCTTTTTGTTTTTAACCTCCTGACACCTTGTCCATTATGTGACCACAGAACCAGGCTCCCGGCTGCCCAGGAAATAGACTCTTCTTCAGTTCTGATTCTTTCTATTCAAGTAGCGCCATCCCCCCAGTACAGCCAGCTGCTTGCTGACCCTGCTCACCACTCAGCAGGACCCTGGTAATCAGCCCCTCACACACCTAGTCCCTCAAACCGTGGTGCAAAATGCCAGCCAGCTTCTCTCTGAAGCTCACCCTCTGCCATGTCCTCACTGACCCTTCTTCAAACTCCAGCATTTTTTATCTTCAATCTAAGATATCTCTGACCTCTTTTTCCCCCTGCATCCTGCTTCATAGAGTCCTTAGCAAACAGCTACTGCTGATATTTATTGAGAATGTGCCTGGTGCTAAGTCCGATGCTTCCCGGTGCTTATCTTATTTCATATTTACATAAATACTATTCAGTATGTACACAGAGGAGGAAACTGAGGCTTACAGAAGATAAGTATCTTACTACATGGCTATTAAAGGCAGAGCTAGGATGTAAATCAAACGCTGTTTTAGTTAAAAGAATCCAGATTCTTAACCAAGAAGTTGTACTGCCTTACAGAAAAGTTGTTCACATGACTTAATATTTTTCAGTAAGTAAAAATTGCCATTGAAAATGTTTATATCTATATCTATATCTATCTATAGTGTTCATTGCCCTTAATATAATGGCATCTTTAAGTTTTAGTTCAGGACCATGTTTGTCTTTGCTGATGAACTTGAATGTTTCCCTTCCTTCACCAAAGAGAAAATCTTAAGCTTGGGTTTCCCCAGGTGGCTTGGAGTGAAATTTAGCCCTTAATTGCAGCAGCTGTTTTTAGCTTACTTGAGATAATGTTCTCGCCTTTCTTGAATATGACTTTATTTATATGATGGTTCAATTGCACATGTTTTCTTTCCTACTAGACATGGAGCATTTGGGTGCAGAGACTGAAGGAATTGAATATGTACCTAATTTTGTAAGCTGCTTTTTCCAGAAGCAAATTATGTTGATATATCAAATGGGACTCAGTTACAACCAGTTTTCTCAGCAAAGTACTCAACATTTATTCTGTGACTGAACTGTGGAGTGGTTTGGATATGTTATTTTGAGCACAACCTTGTTACTACAGCTGTAAAAATTTGTGGGGTGGGTCCAAAATTTCAGACAACCAGGTAAAAGGTGATAATGGGAAGATATTTACGAAATGCTTCGAAACTAGAGTGATGAGTGGTGAAATGGGAAGGAATGTTTTCAGTGACCTGAGTGGGGCCCCCTCCAGGTAGGGAGATTAGATTAGATCAGTAAGGGTGTCTTCCCATGTTTACAAGGACTGAGACAACGGTTAAATAACAGCTGGTGAAGTAGCCTGGCTCCTGGGGCCAGTGCTAGGAGGGAGCTGAAAGCACATGGGAGGCGGAGCCAGCGTTGACTTCTCATCTTCTGGACCATGGGAATCAAGTCCTTGCTCAGATGGTCACGGCCTCCAGAATTGGGGTTGGCCTTAGGAAAAGGGAGAGTGGTCCTAATTATACATCTGACACTCGTTTTAAAACCTGTTTAATCTGAGATTTAACCTGGAGAAAAGAGGAGGTGGTCATTGAAGTGTTCTTCCAGAGAGAGATTTTTGTTTTCTATTTATGTGTAAGCATAGATTTGGCTTGGGAGGGGATGTCTGTCCTATAATTAGCTAAAGATGTCCACCTTATAACTGGCATGTGCGTGGGCACTTTGTGACTGGCACCCTGCCATGTATGATCGTCCTGTGGATGAACATTCTGTTAGCCTAGAGAGTCAAGGGTTTGGAGGCTGACAGGGGGTTTGGAGGCTGTTGCCTCAGCAGTGTGTCCGGCTTACTGTTCAAGGTCCAGGATATTTGTGAGAGTCGTCCCAGTTGTTATGACGAATCAAAAGTACTTCTGATAGAAATAGAGAAATCAGGAAGTGTGGCCTGTTTTTCAGGAAGATAATTAATTTGTTTTTAGACATCTTGAGTTTGAAATGAGAGTTTGACATCCGGGTGGAAATGTCTGGGCTCAGCTGAGGCCACTCAGTTGAAGCAGCACTTGGGAGGCATGCATTCGAGAACGGATTCTTTCCCTAACTGGCTGTGGTCTTGAACAAGCCTAATTTTTAGGACTCTCACTGGTTGATCTCTTAAGTCAGAAGCCTTCATCCCAAACAAGGACATGGTGGTATGTGCTCTAGACTGGGGGCTTGGGGGGTGTCCTGCTGGGCCCGTCTCTCAGTACTGTCCCAGGGAAAAGAAGACAGGAGCTCTTACCCTGGGTGCCTGCCATGAGCAGGGACGATTGCTATTGCGTGGATGTTTCTGAGTGTAGTTTGAGAATCAGCAAAGCTTGGGTGTCTTAAACAGTCATCGTCAGAGACTGGCCTCTGTTGTCTGTCTTCCTGTAATTTGCACTTTGTTACTCAGCAGTGCCTAGAGGGGCTGCTCAGACCACTCCAGCTTATTCTACAGACACAAACTTCAGTGCTGGAAGGAACTCTACAAGTGACTTACATGGGGAATGATAGCTGTATGGGGAGAGCTCAGGGGTCACTTCTTCGCTACAGAGCCCCTGGCAGGGAGGCCCTCAGCCTCTGCTTGAATGCCCCCAGTGATGGGGAGATTAGCTCTTACAGTGCTGCAGTTTACCTACTGGGAGCTCTGTTAAGAAGGTGTTCTTTACCCCGCTCTGTAATTGACTCCCTGTATTTCCTACCTAGTGTGTAGTTCTACTCAGCAGTTTATCAATCCTTGTAGCCCCCTTTCTAGATGGGGAAGCACAACCTGATATGCCTAGTGGCTCACTCGGTATAACAGGGAGCTGTGCTCTTTCTGCTATGGAGAGGCCCACCTTTCTAACTGCCTTTCCTCCTTCTCCTGAGTGCCTACCCTGTCATCCTTTTCCCTTAACCTGGAGCCTCTGACCTGCCTTGAACTGGTGGGGAGTTCTAGGGCCCAGTGGTGGCCATCTGGCTGAGTAGCTCTGCTTGGAGGGTTTGTTAGTCTGCTGTAAGGAGATGCTTTAATGTCCTGGGAGAGTGCTGGAAGCTGCTTCATCCTGGGACACCTTCAGGTGTCACTCACCTTTACAGCAGGGCAAGTGTGATGGGGCCTTGGGGGTTGGTTGGCGTGGGGGCCGCTTCTTAGGGTGCAGCCTTTGTGCGTATTTACTTAGGGCCTGGCATTCCCTGTGTGCTTCAAGTGCTGTGTGAGTAGACTATCTGTTGACCCGGGAAAAGGGAAACACTCAGATCTCTGCAGGGTCGCAGCCAAGATGTGCAGTTCCTGGACAGCCCACCATTTCTGGGGTGTGCGGACCTTTCTTGTGAGTGCTGAGAAGGAGTTTAACAGGCCGAGGAGAGGAGCAGAGAGTATTCTTATTTGCATGGAGAGACAACTGCATGATGACATGGTGTCCCACAGTCTGCAGGGACAGCATGGTTCAAATTCATGATTAAATGGGCAAAACGAAGTAAGACAAAGTGAAGGAAGGGATAGAACTTGAGGTAATTTGGGAATTGTTTAGGCCACGGGTCCTCTGGAATTTTCTTACTTTCCCTCTAGAAATGTTATTATTTAAAAGATACCACCAGCCATCTGAAAACCAGAGCGGGCCTTTAAGGAAGGAAAGGAGGGATGAGTGACGATGTCTTTCTCCTCGCCTCCCTTCTCTTGCGAACAGGGAGAAGATGCCTTTCCACCATGTGACTGCTGGCCTGCTGTACAAGGGGAATTACCTCAATCGATCCCTGTCTGCGGGCAGCGACAGTGAGCAGCTTGCTAACATTTCTGTGGAGGAGCTGGATGGTAAGGAGCCCGTCCTGAGGGTAACTTTTTAGCCACTGGTGGGGCACCTGTGGCTACTGTGCACCTACGGTGAGAGTGCCAGGCTCTGGCCATGTGTAACTGGTGTGCCGGGAAACAGTTCAGATATAAATTCTGCCTAAATAACCTTGGAGCCTGAAAATATCTATAAAAGATATTTCAGGTTCCTTGGATACTAACAGGAGGGATAGCCTTCAACTCCCCAAATGTATTTTCCAGTTTATGGAATCTTTATCATCAATGCTGTTGTCATGTTTCCATATTGTCATTTATGGTGGGGCCCAGCTGTGGGGGAGGGTTACGCCCTGCTAATGGTTGTCTCTTGACTTGCAGGCCATGGTGCCTTGAATCCTGCCAGGATTAGAATCATCTGGAAGCCATGTCGAGGTGGAATGGACAGCAGTTATTTTTATTGCCTCTGTTCCTCCGTAACAGAGTTCAGAGCTGGGTATTCAGGGCAGGGTTGGGCATGGAGACAAATCTGAGAACACAATGATTGAATTTGTCCTTGGACAGTGTCACATTGTATCCCCACTGGTAAATCAACTTCCAATAAAAAAAATTAAAAATTAAAATAAGAAAGAAGGAAGTTTTTCTAGAATAGAGAATGAGTTTGATTCAACCAGATGTTTGCCTAGATGCACATCTGCTGAGGCTAAACCAGAATCGGCTTTCCCTGGTGTTGTGGAGTGCTGTCTTCCCTGCAACACATCTGAAAACGTAAAGCCTAAATTTACTTTCTAAAATGGAGATGTCAGAGTTACCCAGAGGGCCCATGCCTTTACCTTTCCATGTAAAGGTTCGAACCAGTGTGCTTTCTCTGTGCACATTTCTCACAAGGGGAGGCGGAAGGATTCTTGGCCAGGGGAGCCAAACATGCTCTACCATCATGAGGAGATGAGGGGAGCGCAGGTGGGGCTACCTGATAGCTTTCCTGGCCCTTGTTCATTTTGTTTGCTTATCTAAAGGCTTGCTTATTTACATGAGCGAGCCAGCCGTGACATGTCAGAGGACAGAGGGCTGGGTCCAGAGGACAGGCCAGGGGACGTCAGAGGAAGTGAAGATGCTGCGGGTGAAACCAGACCCCTCGGGCTAGCCGCTGCTCACTGTAGTATGGACAGACTGGAGGCCAGAGCGGCGAGCACCCTCATATCCCCTGGCCTTCAGCTGGCCAGAGAACATTTGGATGCAGGACACAGAAGCAAGCAAGAGAGCCTTGACTGCCTCCGAGGTGACCCCGTTCTGGTGAATACAGGGAGGCTGAGGCTGGGCGTGTGTAGCAAGGCCCAGGCTTTTCTGTAGCCTGAGGCGTCCATTCCCAGTGGAAGTCAGGGTCGGTGGTGCATGGATTTGGTGGATTTGCCCTGTGTTTGTGTAGGTCTCCTGGTGGGGGTGGTTAGCAGGAGCCTCAGAGGGACTTGCAGCGTGGAGGCCCTGGAACTGTCAACTCTTGGAGAGGCTGGGATTATTAACCAAATGAAGTCTGAACATCATCTGTGGCTTTCTATTTGCTTTCCTCCTCCCTCCCATCTTTGCCATGAATAATCAAGAGATGATTTCTCTAAGATTTCTCAGAGCACCGGCTGTTTCTTTATTAAATCTGGGCCAACTCCAGGGTACACAGCTTTTCAAGAGGACCGTGGGCTAGATTTCAACCCTTCTCCCCTGGGCACCTGGCTGAAATACCCTCCAAGTTATTGGGCAAACATCAGAGTTCACGAGCTGTTTCACCCAGGCCCAGGCAGCTGAGCAGGGCTGAAAGGCACCTACCTTCTCAGCAGGTGAGGTGAGCGGCGAGTGACTCTAACAACCCTCGATCCCAGGTGGGCAGGCTGAGCAGAGAACGCCTGGCAGGGCCCTGGTGGACTAGAGGCTGGCTGGTGAAGACGCTGTATTTGTCCAGCAGGAGCATATTCTGGGCTCTCAGCCTGGAGAGGGGCCATTTATTTTCTGATGGAAGATTCCTGCTACTTCTTTATTTTTTTGCCAAGGTGACCCCTGAGTTACGACTGCTCATGCTTTCATACGAGCATCGTGGGACTCCGAGCGGGGCTGTGCAGATGTGGGCTTAGTTTAGAGCAGGTGGGCAGGGCCTGAAAACCAGGTGGCCTGGATCAGTTCAGATGATTGCTTTCTGGATCTTCAGGAAGCCAGGGTTTCCAAGCCCTTGCCTGCTTGCTGTTCTCTTGAGGCTGCTCAAGTCAAGCTATAGTCCTGCTGTGTGAGGCCACTCATTTATCCTCAGAGGTCTCTGGTGTTGCACAGGGAGTTGACGTGTTGGACACCGTGGACACTGAAGCATCTTTTGTGGTCTGTCTGGCTACCTTCGGCACCGACATTAGTTAGTTGGGTACCATCCTCATTCACTGCTCTGCTCTTCTCATCCTGCAGCCTCCTGTTTAAGGTCGACCGCAGGCAGGTTGCTCCACCTGGTTAGTGTTTATCACTAGGGACGGAGTGCCCCTTTCTTTCAAGGTAAGGGTCAAAGGCGCCCAGTCCATGGGTGGGTCCCCTCTTAGAACAGGCATGACGAGAGCTCTCTCCATGCAGGCCAGCTCCAGTTGCCATGCATTCTGGGAAGTTTGTTTCTTCTCCTTACATAAAGCTCAGGAGGAAATAATGTAAAGCTGCATTAAGTTGGCCAGATTGGAGTTGGAAATCACCCAACAAACAAATTTAGCTACAATGAATCAAATAGTTGATTGAGACATTCATACATTCATTAATTCATTCATTTGTTCATTCCTGTTCATTCATTCATTATAGGAATGTTTACCCAAATGCTTTCCGGGTAGACGAGGAAATCAAATAAGTACAATATTTGTTGCCTGTCTCCAAGGAGTTTGCAATCTACCCAGGGAGTTTATGTGTATACAAAATTAATTATCAGTATTTTGCATTTTTACAGTGGGTCATGTGAAATTTTATTAGACATATGAATTCTAATTTTTAAAAAACAGTTTTTGTGGTGCTATTTATTGAATAATCTAGTGATCCTGTCTTAAACTAAATTCACCTCTATCTGAAGTTCATTCATTTTCATAAATAGATGGTGTTCCATTGTATGTAAATATACCTCTATTTCTATATCCATCTATTCAGGATGGATATTTGGGTTTCCAGTTTGAGGCTATTTGACACTGCCTTCTGTTGCAGTTGTGACGTTAGGGTCTGCTCTCCTCATGGCTTTCTCGTAGCAGTTGTAAAATGTCTGGGCATAGGTATCTCACGTTATTTTTGCTAGTAATAGTCTCAGCTCCCTAGAGTGCTGTCAGGTCTTCATCTGAGCTTAGGTTAGTGTGCTCTCACATCTTTCTGTTTTTTTTTCCTTTCAAGAACGCCTCTCATTTTAATGCTAAAGCTTCATTTGTTTTTCACATTATATGTCTCTTCTCACATTATTTTTCTCCTTTTGAACTTCTGCATTCATTCCTGAGTATGTCTTCCACGTCATTGATTTAGTTGTTTGCAGTCCTTAAAATTTTTGTTTTATTATTGCCTTAAGAGCCTATTTTCATTATGGTGAAAGTTTCTGTTTCTTTGTAGCCTGGCTTTATTTCAATAGCTCTCCTCCTTTTTTTTTTTAACATTTGGTCCAAGTATAATACAGAAAAGTATTAATGTACAGTTCAATTATTATTGAACATGAAAACTCATGCAAGGACCACCTAGGTTAAGGAACATGGTATGATCGGCATCTCAAAGTCCTCCCTGAGGCCCTTCCCAATTCCTCTGCCTCGGAGACAACCACTGCCCTGACTTACTGTCTTGTTTAATTGTGTTTGTGTTTTCCCTTCATCTCAGTGGGGTCATGTCATATCTATTCTTTTGTGTCAGCCTCTTTCTCTCAACATTATAGTTGTGAGACTCAACCATGCTTTCGAAGGTAGCTGGAGTTCATTCATTTTTATTAACTTAAAACGTTCCATTGTGTTTAACTGCACCTCAATTTATTTATCTGTTCTATTCTCGATTGTTTGGATTGTTTCTAGTTTGCAGCTATTAGGATATAATCTAACCATCCCCCTTTTTGTTGATGCTGTGGTCTTAGGATATGCTCTCCTTGTGGTTCCCTCTTCCTCTTCTGTTGGGACCATATATTTTTATTCTCTCTTAGTTGTCTTAATGAGAATAACTTGGGTACCATTTGTGGAAATCTCTTCTGTTTCTTGTCATAAATTAGATATATAATAAAAGCCTTTTTATCCAACTCTTCCAGCTAATGCTACCTTTATTCCTTTATTTTGCATCAGCAGATGTTTTTATATGGTTCCTTTTACTTTTTTTCTGTTCTGCCTTGTGATTCAACAAAGTTCTTTGGAGGCCCAGTATATGTCAGCAAACAAGGTTTATAAAGAGTCTTTAGCCTTTTTTATTCTATCTTCATTTTATCCCAGATCTGGCATAATTTTCTCTTTTCCATCCCCAGACTAGAGAGTCCAGTTTCTAGTAGACATTCTTCTAGTCCACAACTGCTGGGCAGAAGTGGGATCTTGGTTGCCCCTACTGTTGGGTTTGCTCCCTATGCCACAGAATTATAAAACTCCTTTCTCTCCCTTCTCCTGCTCTCCTTCCTGTTCCCAGACTGGTGTCCAGCATTCAGTGACCCCAGAAACATTCTGATTCTCATCTTTCCCCTGTGGGTAATCCAGGGTGGGACACACCATCCCATGGCTCTCGTTACTTCAGAGGTGTGTTCCGCAAAGAAGCTTAGGAAAGGGGTGCTGCTGAGGTGGGTTTGGGTTGGGGAATAGATCACCATGGAAAACAGTTGATTTGGTGGTCAGTGTAGCCTGTGGGTCCCTGGCAGGAGCAAACAATGGTGGTGAGTCAAAGTCTTCCTGCTATATGTACCACTGTAGTTCCCAGGATGGATGAAAGTTATTTCTCCAGTTTCATTAGTGTTGCGATTAGTGAAAGTTCTCCTCAGGCTCTGACATGTATACTTATCTCAAAATTAGTATTTCTGGTGATGTGCTCAT